AAGCATTTAAAAGTAATTATAAGTTTTATTAAATATCTAATTACATATGTTACATTAAAAGTAGTTAATTCAGCACTATAAGAATATATGAGACTACTTTAAATAAGCACTTATTCATGGATAGCTTAATTAAGGGAGAAAACAAAATGATTATATTTACAAAAAATAATAATAGATAATATATATATGTAAATTATTTAATAAATAAACAAGTAATGCAAAGAATAGATTTAGGTAAGAATTCGTAAGTAAGATTATGAATTATACTGATTATAATTATAATTATAATTATACGCCGCCTGTGACGTAAAAACGTTATTATGTATAAAATACGCAATTATTTAAAAAAATGTGTTAATTTAAAAAAATGTTTTAAAATAAAATAGAAAAAATATATATATCTAATTTTATTTATAAGTTGTAATAAAAAATTTTAAGTTAAACGTTCAATTTACAAGGACATTTCGAACTTTCCTTTCAAGGTAAAATTTAATTTACAAAGAATTTTGTTTTGTTGGTATCTTCTAACTCAGGTTGTAAGCTTTTAAGTGTACCAAATTCTCCAATTATTAAAGTAGTACCTTTAATAGCACATGTAACAAAAGTTATGTAAAGAATAAAGTCATGGTAGAATGAGTGATACAAAATGCAAATAATATTAAGTTACAACTAGTTACTTCCGTTATTTTTAAACAACAGTTTTCATAAATATATTTAAAAATATGTTTGTAAAAATATAATAGTAATTAAAGTAATAAAATATACAAAATTTAATTATTATGTTGTATAAAGAAATTTGTTAATCTATAATAATTAATATATTAGATATACATTCAAAAATAATTGTGACTTCCAAAAATACTGTTTCAAAAGAATATATTATAGATCGAAAAAATCTTGTTACAAATAAATTATTCAACATGAGTGATTGTTTGAGATTTATCTACAATTAAATGTATATAATACATAAAAAAGCTGAATAATACGGTTGATAGAAAATTGTTTTTAATGTATAAGAGTATAACGTATTATGAGATTGTTTATTATTAACATAAGAAATGGATTAATGTAAATATCTATGGACCTTTTTATGCTTTTAAAAATAAATTTTTTTACATAATATTTGTAGCCTTGTTAAAATTACAAGCAAATAGTTATGTGTAAAATTTATGTAAATTATTTATGAAGCAAATAAAAATTACTGGATAATAATGTATTGGAATTTAATACTATGTTTATTCGCATTATCATTGTTAAATAACAATTTCGAATGAAAAAATACTTTTAATATAGTTGATTACATTTTATTAGAAATCCAATTATTTTAATAATTTTTTATAATAATAAATATAATATTTAAATTAAACCTAAGATCAGTGAAAAGAAAAATTGAAAATTGTTTCATAAATTTGAAGTTTAACTATGTTAATATAAATATATTAATGACTTATAAGTATCTGGCCAACAATAAAAGAAAAATATCGTGTTATGAATATTTTATCAATTATTAAAAACAAAACATATCATAAATGAAATTCCATATTGGTAAAAATTCTACTATTTTTAAAATGATTTCATAGACTCTTAAAAATTTAAATAAATTAAACAATTTAGTTTATATACGATTAATTATTTCAAGATATTTTTAATTAATTATATAAAATTAATTATATAAAATAATTACAAAGGTTTTTGGTTGTTTTTAAATAGATTTATTGAATCATTCAAGCCTTCATAGTATCGTCATACGTTATCGTCTATATGAAAATCATAATTCAACTACGGTCATTAATAATGCCAAAAATCCGGTACTAATTTTTAAAAGTTTTTAAAATATGAATATTATAAGGAGAGTTATAAAATTACATGTATTAAAATTTACCAAAATTGTTATAACTATTACATTAAAATTGTAAATATCCATTGAACACATTTTTAAATATTTATGAGTGCGCGCTTCTTTTACTTATTTTTTCAGATACTTTAGTATCAATATGCATGAAATCGTAGAAATAATAATTTAGAAAATAATTTGTTTACATTTTGCACATGGTACTTCAATATAAGATATATAGAACAAATTCAAATACTAAGGCAGATCTGAGTAGAAACAAATTGTTTCACTTTTGCTTCTAAATAACTTCTAACTATTTCGAAGGTTCCACTGATTGTCATCGAGATATACACTTTGAAAGTACTTTGAAATACACTGAAATCTCATTAGAATTAGAATCATACATATTCAATTTATCAAACATTTCCGTTCAAAGAGCACAAAATAAGAAATTACAAAATTTAATTTATTAATACTGTAATATGAATGACAATATGGTAATTGAAATTCAATGTAAGAGTTGAATACAATATTGTTTATTATATAATATAATAAAATAATCATAGAAATTACTAGTCCAATAAATGGTATGAAGCTTGCAGTTACTAAATTTATTTCATTCGAAAAATGTACATAACATATATATATACATAAGTTGTGAAGTCGAAAAGAAGTTGAGCTCAAAGAATACAAGAATTATAAATACTATTTAACATAAAATGTATCTTCATAGACTGAAGAATTTAATACTATTCAACATTATCTATTAACGAAATAAATAAAATAATTTCATAACATTAAAGTTAAATAAAAATTACTTAAATTATGTTTTAAATAATGTTAGGTGCTACCAAATATGAGGAATGATTATAATTAAATTAAGTAAAATATCAAATAAATTTCAAGATACCAATAAAATTCAATATGGCAATTAAAATGTTAAAATGTATGAAGAAAATTGTATAATATAACATAAGTGATAAATGTTTTTAACGGCAACATATAAATATTTACGATATTTGTTCAATGTTTCATGCATATTTCTATATATAAAATAAAGAAAGTATTGTCAATATTAGAAAATTTGACTGAAAAATGTAAAATTAATAAAAAATAATCCAATGAAAAAAATTATTAAGTTATAAAGATTATAATATAACAATAATAAAAAGTAACGAATGAGTCAAACAATTAAAAAAAAATTTACTTTATATTAGATTAAACACATTTTTTCCGTGAAAAATCACTATATAAAAATTAAATAGAAAAGAATTTTACTTATAAATTAGTTTTTCACATCGATGTTTTCAAGATTTTTATTTATATGGCAAGCTTGGCTTCTAACATACTATTTTAGATTATAACTCATAATTTTTTCAAGCAAAAATAAAATATTTGACAGCTACTGATATTTAGTTTTCGTTTTTAATGATGGTACATATAGCATCATAAAAATTATGAGTGATGAATGATGAATATTATTATTGGATCGAATCATTAAACTTATTGTGTAGAGACTGACAAGTTTCGAGTTCTGAGTACATATTCATGGCTATAGCACAAGAGCCGCACTTATCCTTCACGTTGTTTCAAACTAGCAAAAAAGGAAGAAGATATTGCTAAAGAAGTGTTACTATTTCATCCGGGTATCTCGAACTAAAGGTAAAAAAAAATTTTAATTTTAAATTTTTTATCTTTGAAAGTTCAAAAATTATCTTTTAAAGATTTAAATGCGTTCTCAATATGTTTTTTTTCAAACGCTTACGTATAAATTTCATTTTATTTGATTTACTTAATATTATTTAATCAGCATAATATTATTTTAAAAACAATGTTTTTCAAAATATTATGTGTGGGTTATTTTCTAAATAATTTTTAACAATATTTTAAGTTATAAGTTTTTCGTACAAAATGTAGACTAACGAAATTGTTATTAAAATATTTAACATTCACAAAAATATGTTTTTTAAATTCTTTTCCATCGCGTTATAGGTCATTTTATTTAATTTGGAAATTTTTTAATTTAATTCAATAAGTAAGAAAGGATATTTAAAACGAACAGTATTTAAAAATAATAAATAGTTAATTACACCTTCTTAGTAATATCCACTTAAATAATGAAAAACTACTGGATAGTTTCGTAGTACTGTAACAAATTTTCCCTTCAAAATATTTTAATATACATTAGGCAATACATTTCGTTAGTATTTATAATAAATTATGTACTAATATGAAAATATTTATTAAATATATAGTTTAATTTTATATCGATAATATAATCTACAATATGTAGTATGTATAATAATTATAATATAAAAAATAAATAATCCCTTAACTTTTTATGAAGTGAAATATTTTTTATATTTGGTAATGTTTAGAAAGTTACAATATTGCATCATAATTATTGTTAGCTTATAAAAAACTTATGGTATATTTTAATAAATTATTCCTAAATATTTTATATGAAAATATTTATAGTAGATAGAAAAATGTATAATTATACTCTTTTTTTATTATAAACCGGTATTATTGGAGGAAAATTTCATTTAGATATAATATATATGACTATTTAGAAATACATAAAAATAACTATTTTCAAATAGTTTCCAATTATATATTGTTAATTATCAAACTTTAACTATCAACTTCAAACAATAGTGTATGAAATAGATACTTTCCTTAATTAATATGCTTTTATTCCCTAGTCAGTTTCTTAAATTCATTGGTAAAATTATTAAAAATCGTTTAAATAGTTATCCTAAACATTATACGATACTTAAGCAAGTTATAAGGTAATAAATTCATCACTTTGTGGTTATTTGATGAATAATTAATTGATCATGAAAACTATAAAAATACGTAGATTATGTAAACAAATGTATTTATTTTTATTATAAAATTCAAAATCCGGTATACTTTAACGGTTTATTTGTAATTATAAAACATATTTTTCCCAATGAATTCTGTTTTTTAAATCAAAACGATATAAATTAATTTTAGTAAAAATGAAAATAAAAAAATTAGTCCTTTTTCACATTTTATATACGATATGAATTAAAGAATAGAAAAAATTATGAATTCCAAGTTAACTAATTAATAAATAATTTGTAAATAATGAGTAAATTAAAAAGTAATAGGTTTTTATATTGCTTTTTATTTTATGTAGGTCGTTTTGTCAGCATGTAGTACATATTTCGATACCATCTTGTCACAATACGAAGAAAAAGATCCAATTGTTATTATGCGTGACGTCAAATTTTCTGACATTAAAGTTCTGGTCGAGTTCATGTATAAGGGAGAAATCAACATCGATCACGTAAGTTGATACTTTTTTATTTTAATTGTCCAAATAGTTAACTACGATATTGTACAAATATACGCGCGCATGTGCGTAAAAATTTCGTTTTTATAGGTATAAATAAAGAAGTTGCTAACTTATTTATTCCCGGAGTATTACAATATAAATCAATAGAATTATCAACATTGTTTAGTTACTTTAATTATATATTACTTTAAAAAAAATGTTTTATATTTGTTTTTCATGTTTTAAATAATGTATTTATTTTGTAATATTGTAAAATAGATATATCGATACTATTATTCATATTTTAAGACCGTGAGTATATTTAATACTCTAGTCTCTAGTAACATTACAATAACTAGCCATTAAATGATTTTACAAATAAATATTGTAATGTAAAAGTAATTATAATGATTTATGTAAATAAAAAAATCACAATAAATAATTACTTTTTGTAAATTACAAACTTTTTCAATTTCCGAACCGAACGAATTTTTCAATGAAGAAATAGTTTTATCGTCTTCACTCTTACGACTCAATTTATTTGTAGAATTATTATAAAAACAATTAAGTTATTTAACCATTATTTTAATTTAATTAATTAATTTAATTTTGTTTTAATTAATCATATTTTCATTAAAAGGAAAATTTAATTCAATATAATTCAAATTCTGAATCCTTAAGTTTTATAACACTTCATAAAGCATTTATGATATATATACTTCTAATAATTATGTACAAGAACAATGTATGTTATGTTATTAAAAAACGATTTATTATTGATACTAATATAAGGGTAAAAAATTTACTCACTATACGTTACTCATTAAATAATTATTGTATTTTTAATTATATCTTCATATTAAACTGTATTGTTTTAATATGAAGAACTTGAACTTTCATTATTCATACTAGTAATTAGCACTGAAAACATTAGTTATGCTATGATTTATACCATATGGACTCGAAATCACAATAAAAATTACTATAAAATTATTATACTACATACATTTATTTTAGACTTCATTATCTTTGCTTATGATATTGTAAATATAATTTGACATTTTTTAAATGGTAATATTATAAATAGTATAAAAAATAATAAATTTCATAAAAATGTAAATTTCATATTATATGCTATTTTACATTACTTGCTATTATCGAAACTTCTATAATTTATTTATTAAAATTCTTTAATGTAAATTTATAAATATTTAGTCAAATTATCAGATATGCACTTATAATCATGCATATATACATGCATGTAAACTTAATTTTTCACACCTAGAATTATAATATTCATCATTGAAATAAAATAAAAATAATTAAAAAACTACTAGTCTAAAATGACATTAATTTCACAATTATCGTCTCTTATTAATTATTTTTTATATCAATTCTATTTAAAAAAAAGTAATAATTTATTAAATTTCTTAGATATAATAGATACTACATTTATAATTATATTACAATTTATTTTTTAAAATTTAAACTTAAAAACTAAATAAAATTACTTATTTTAATATCTCACTATTTGTCATAGATTGTCATTAATCTTTTCATTTCTAGAAAACTTTTTTTATACAACAATTAATTTGGTTAACATTTAGTATTCAGAAACAAATAATATATATAAACTTAATTTAATACATATTTTATTTCTTAACATTAATTCTTTCTTTATGTTTTAAGACTAATATGTACCTATTAATAATCGATTACGTATATCAAATAATTCGTTTTCTTCTTTCCATTTCCAATATCTTAATTTTAATTCAGAATATGCTCTTATTAAAGTCAATATTAATATATTATTTGGGTTCTTCTAAGCACACTTTATTTTTATAACTATAACTTTTTCTGGTGAAAATAATAAATTTTATTCTATATAGATTTTTTTTTTAATATAATTTGATTCAATATAATTTACAAATGCTTGTTACATTAATATAATAGAAATTATTACGGCTTTTATCTTCGCTTTTAGCCGAGCTTTCGTTTTCTTTTAAATCAATGCATATTTCTAATATAAAATTTTTTAATAATTACCTTTGTTTTACAAATTCTTATGCCTTTCAAAATCATCTATCGAATCATAAAATAAAAACGGAAATACAAAAATATAAACGGAAATATAAAAGAAAATGCATGTTACAAACATTCATTATATAATATTACAAAATAAATTTTTTGACAATAATACTCTCAATTAAGTATATTAATTCATTTAAAATATCATGTAAAAATGAGTATCTTTATAAATATTTAAAAATATATGCTTGTACTGTTTTTCAGATTATACGTAAATAGTTGTAAAAATTGATTTCGGACTGAAGATAAATTAAAACTAATTGATTTTTAGTAAGCGGATATCAAAATATAAGTCAAATGATATCTAAAAAGTAAAAATACAAAATTTTCATAGGAATACTAAGGATAAAATAAATTTAAAAATAAAAGGTTTATATTGAAAGTAAATTTGAAGAAAACAGGGTAAAATTAAAAAAATGAAATAATTTAATTATTTCTGACAAATTAACATTATTTTATTATTTGCATTATCCAATAACAGCAATAATATGATAAGAAATTAAAATTGTGTAATAATATTATATAAAAAAACGTCTTTTTGTAGATTCATTATTCTTTGTTGACTTAGATACTTAACTCAATTGTTACAAAAATTTAATAAAAATAAAAATACAAATTTTTAAGAAAAGTATGTAACTAATTTATAGCTTTAAAATGTTTATGCAATATTTACAAAATGTAGTATATGCTTACTTATTATTGATATAAAATTTAAAAATAAAAAAAAATTGTATTAAATAAAATAAATTAAATAAGATGTGTAGATTTTTTCGCATAGAATTCTTTAAAAATAGTTTTAAATTTATATATTTAATCTTAAAATTATTTTTAAAGTTAGTGTCTAATAAAATTAAAAATATAATAAAAACAATAGTATGAATGACATAGATTCTGTATATGCTATTGTTTTAAGTTAATCTGAAAAGTCTCTAACACAAAATAAAAATAAAATTATTTTAAGAAATTTTTCTGGATTATATGATTGTACATTTCTAAATTTTCTAAATTAATATATAGGAATGGAATAATGTATTATATTTTATTTCATACATAAGTTTCCTAAGATTTATAAAATTTTCATAATTTAATTACACTTTTAAAATGCTTTCGTCGTGTTTGAATAGTTACATTTGAAAAAACATAAAAAGTTATGTTGAGTTTAAGTACTGATTATTTCAACAAAATTTTGATTTTCAAAAACTAAAATTAAAATGCAAAATATCATCTTATATAATCATGAACAAGGTAAATAGAATATACTTAGTTTTCCTTACTACTATTTCAAAATAAGTTAATATTTAATATAGAAATTTGTGAATGCAATGATTCAGAACATTTTTATTCTATAACCTGATTAATATTACTAAAAAAGTAAAGTGATACTATTGACTAGATCAACAGTAAAGTAATCAATATTGTTCAAAGGATAAACACTTTTTAAAAATTAATTTTTTAATTATGCATAGTTTTCAGAAGCTTAATATGTGTAAGATATTCTTGGTGTAATTACTTCTATAAAAGTCGATTCATTTTGTCCTAACTTGTCGTTCAAATAAATAAATTTTGTATTTTAGAAAATTTTTGGTTTGCATATTATTAATTTGGTTATTTTTTATTAGTGCATAAAAAGCAAGAAATATAATATAAATAACCATAATTTGTTTGTAATTTAATTTGAAAAATTTTAAAAGAAAAAATATGTATAAACAATCATAACTTGCTCAGGATTCATTTTTCATGATGAATGAAACTGGATTATAAGTAAATTTTAAATTTAGCTGAAATAAAATTAATTGATTTATTGTTTTAAATAATGCAACAAAAGTAAAAATTTTTCCAACAATTTAGCAGATTTAAAAAAATAACTGTATTTGACATATAGATTCATTTATACATTTTACAACATTTTAGAACAATTATACAATAACGAAAATTTATTTTGGATAGAATATAATAAAACAATTAAATTTCGATAAATGGAAAACTCAAAATAACGTATAGATGTAATTAAAAAAGTATTAGAATATTGATTGATACATGATAGTGATACGGATAAGGTTCCATACATAACTAATTTTATTTTAATACTTAATATTTATCACTATATACTTAAATATTTTTAGAGAGTTAAAATTGATGTTTATTGATTTAGAAAATTTCTGTTATGGATAAAATTTGATGATGAGAAATGCAGAGTTAATAAAAATTAATTGATTATGTTTTTGTTGTAATAACTAGTCATAAAATAAAAGCTTTTGTAAATATAATATTTATGTAAAAATTAGATAATAAATAATAATTGTAAATATAATAATTTATATTAATATGTAATAAAAGCTTTAGCGTTGATGAATTGGAAGTTTTTGTAAATATTAATTTAAATTAGAGAAGTTTTAATAATAAAAAATAATCGAAAGAAAACAACGATTACAACGGATGAAAGTTACCCAAAACACATTATAGTTTTAATACAACCTATTTTCTGTTATAAAAATACACAAAATTGAAGCGGTCGATTGTGTTTATACAAATCAAACTAAAAGATTTTCCGAAGTCAATGAAATGCAATTGTAATAAGAAGAAAATGCCCACATTATGTACCTGATTCAATTAATACTTCAGAAATTTTTTACTTTATATTTATTTCTTTTAAATTATTCCGTATTTATAAGATTGAAAAAATTGTAAATAAATTAGCAGTTAGTCTAATAATAAGAAAAATATCACTTTAAAAATCTGATAATTTTTGTATAAGATATTTGAAACTTTGTGAAATTAATACACTATTCATATTTATGATTTTTTAATAAATTTACAATACAAGAAATTTGTATTATATCGAATTATTAGGTTGTTTTAAAATGTAACAAAAAGTATCCTCCAACCTTGTACATCATTTATTTAAATATCAATTAATAAACAATTTGAAAGAGCATAAAAGACGAGCCCTATTGTGTTAAAAAAATAATAGATAAATTTATAGCGTTGAATATTGAGAATTAAACATGATAATAAATTACAATAAAGTGAAATTTCTAAACAAATTAATTAATAACAGCATTAATCAATTAAAATTAAATTTATATTCAATTACGTTAGAATTATAATGTACAAATTTTGATTAAATTAATATCGATTACATCTTTAACATTCACATTTAGCTAATCTAAATATTTACATTACCTTTTTAAGTTAATATTCTAAAAATATTTACAAAATTCTCTTATAAATCAATAATTTAACTAAAATAGAATTTATTTACCCCGTTCATAATTTCTTAAAAATTAATGATCTGATGGAAAAAATTATAAATATTGGACGTTAAATTTTGAATCAAAGTCTTCTTACGAAAATAAAATTGATTATTTAATGTATACTCTAAATGTTTTTATAATAGGACTGAAAGACAAATTTTAATTTTTCGGGAGTTAAATATTGAGCATTGTAAATGTTAAGCTTAATGCTTGTTCATATAAAAAGTGGTATTCAATTATTTCTATGTAAGATTTAGATTTTAACTAACTAAATTTCGTTGAGGTATCATTTTCGTATCGCGACTTGGATCTACTTATAACCAGACCAGTGTTTTTATATATAAAAGCACTGGGGTTAATGAATCAAATGAAAATGTTATGAGATAGATTAATATATCTCTAATAAATGACATGAAATAAAGTAAGAGAGAATGTAAAATAAAGTCGATAGTTAAAAAAATATATAATATATAATATATTCAACTAAACTGAAATATAATAAAGTGTGAGAATAAGATGACACCTTCAACTACTATACTACTATATATTTAAAATCTACTTGCACTTAATCGGCGAAAAATCCGACTATTTTTATTTAACTTATAGATAAGTATGCGAACTTATATTGAAATTAGAATTTATATTACATATTGAAGTATATATTTCAGTTGAAATATAAACTACACGGGTGTATTTTAACACCTACTTATTATAAATGCAATATTTTAATACATCCATTTTATGATTAATTTGTTGAATGGTATGGCAGAAAAACGTGAACAAAGTCCGTAATTTAGCAATGAAATAGTATCTGAGGAAAGCTCATTTCTTATTAATCAAGGAGCTGGAAAAAAGGTTTAGTATCATAGATGATCAAGGGAGATCGACATCGGCTCTTTTAATGTGCGCTTTTTACGAGCTCACCGAGTTAACCCGGCAATTGTATCGTCGTGATCATGGTGGGAGACTTGCGCATTGCGCAAAACAGGTACTTGGTTGAGTGAGAAATAGAAAGTAAAAGAAAACGTGTAGTTTGTGATACTACTACAGTGTGTGTGTGTGTGTCTGTGCGCGCGCGCGTGTGTGCGCGTGTGTGTGTGGGCGAGAGAGAGAGAGAGAGAGAGAGAGAGAGAGAGAGAGAGCGATTGCCTAGCATTACCTACGCTATAAAAACAGAAACATACTGGAGAGTAATAAAGAAGGCAATAGAGAGTGCGCACACCGTGTCGAACAGATTGAATAGCAAGAAAAATGGAGAGAATAGATAGATAAACTAAATGTCTTAGAACACTACGTATATTTTTACATATACAAAATATATAAAACTTATAGTAATCAGAATATCTCTGTTACAACTTTTCAATTTTAATAATGACGCTAATTTTGTTAATTATATAAATGTATAACTAATCGCTTCAACATTAGTAAAAAAAATTATATGTAAACAAAGTTATATATTTTTCAGTTATAAATACATAATTTGCAGTTCTAAAATTTCGAAAATATTCAATTTTGTATAAAAATGTGATTTCAGAATCATAAAATTTATTCATATTTTCTCTTTTAAATCTCTCCTTAGAGGAGAAAATTATAAAAATTATAAATCATTTATTTTATTTAAAATTTTGTTTACATAATTTTCTTAGTTTTAAGAGAAATTTTAAAACATTTTTTTTCTTTTTGTATTTTATATTGGCAGCAATAAACATTATTTCTATTGCATATAGAATATCCAATTGTAGAAAAATATACATGAAAATCTCAATTGACATTCACTTTAAATTTCAAGGAATTATTTACGATTTTATTTAAATAATTACAATTTTAAAAAAATATATATTGTTTATTAAAACTTGTTAATGTGAAATCCAATAAAATAATTATTTAGATTAAACAAATTTGTGGAACTTTGTAAATAATTAAATAAAATTATTCACAGCTAGAATTAATAATATTTCATTTGATCCATATTGAACAATAATTTAATTTAATATCTAAAATTTTAGGATGATTAGTTATTCTAATTTATTTAAATAGGAATATTTTAATAATAATTTTTACAATGTAGAAAAAATGCATTATAAAAGTTCTTATAAAAGTACACATATAAAAGTTGATATTAACAATATACTATTTTTATTTTTATATTAATGGATAAAATATAAAAGTTTACTTTAATAGTATTTACATATAAAATGAAATAAAAAATGAAATAAACTTTAATATTCTTTTATTACAGACGAGACTATCGTCGCTTTTGAAAACGGCTGAGGATTTGCATATAAAAGGCCTAGCAGAAGTCAGCTGGCGTAGTGATTCGGCACATAACGAAATGAGCAACAGTGGACACAGTCCATGTTCAGGTCCTCCAGGTGTGGAGACAGTACTACGGGAAGGTATTGATACGGACGAGCCACCACCGCCAAAACAAAGGCGCCGTGGACGACCACCCCTTGATGATCCGCCTTCCGCTCATGATGTCTTCACACCAAAGATCACCTGTATCACCGGAAATGTAGGCACTGACTGCACTCTATCTCTTAGCAAGGTTAGATAGTATTAGTGTGCATGTTATGCTTTTTATTTGCAGATAGTTTATAACATTGCATTTATATTCAATAAATATAGGTCGATTTGTTCTATTTAAGGCGCTACATTTCTTTGAAAACGATTAAGTATTTTATACACTTACTTTATTCTTTTTGTATGTTTGAAAGAACTTGGAATTCTCATCGAGAATGCTTTAACATTTCAATAAATTCCTCGGATTTCAAAGTATTGCCCCTATTTAATTTAGAATACGTTACTATCATTGTATACCAATACAATTTTTTAAATAGCTGATCGTTATAAGTAACCCCAACATTTTATATTTTCCTTTATTTTAATTAATGTTTTTAAATAATATGCTAATCTTTAAAATATTAATTCTTTTAGCTTTGTACAAAGTGCTGTGAAATTAAATTAGACTTCCTTTTTAGTTAGTTTTTTAACTTTTTAACTTATTTTTTAAAGCATTTCGAAATATAATTAAATAATAAAACCCTAAATCTATGAAAACTATTATATTTTTAATATCATATAAATTTTTTATCCATATTAATGTATGGTACATTTATTAAAACCCAAGTTAAGAAATAAAATATTTCCAAGTAAAACATGTTTATTATTGTTGTATAAAACATATAAATATATTCTTAAATTAATTCATAATTTTAAGCATTGATTCCCAATTAACAAATAGTAATTGGTTGCATTTTTAATTGAATAATATTATAGTTTTTTATAATCACTTTATATTTTTATAATTTATATTTTTTATATTTTTTATAATCGCTAGTATATTACTTTGAAATCATAATTTTGTATATTCTTTTAAAATTAAAAATTTAATTAATCATATACTAAGCCGTTTGAGCTTACATCAGAATTGCGTGTAGGATAACCATATATTTTTAATTATGTACTAATCATTTGTATATGAAATTTTAGTTACGTAGTTTTTCTAAAATTAATTGTACTAAATAAGAATAATTTAAATTAATATAAGAAAACATTAAATTCTAAGAAGTAATTATTTTTTATAATAGCAAGAGGAAATGCTGAGTGAAGGAGACCATGAAAGCTGGGATGATGAGATGATGCCTGAAAGTAATGAAGCACCAATGCCAATTGTAAGTCTTAGTAATATAATAAATACTTTTATATGATTGATTAGAATAATATTTTGTAAAATCTATATTTATTTTCAGCAAATCTCATATATGTCAAAAGACGATGGTATTTTAGAGCAGGACAAAAAAGGTAAATAATTTACTGGGAAATAATGTAACTTTATATAAAAATCAATATTCGAATGAACTTAACATTTTATTCTGTTCTGCATATTGCTTTTTAAAATTATATTTTTTTGTTTATAATAGAAGATCTATAAATTTTGTTGTAATTTGCAGAAAATTAAATACACTATAATTTTAAATTATTTATTTATTTATTTAAATTAGTTATTTTATTTATTTTTAAAGTATAATTGGTTAATTTATAACATATAACTCAAAAAGAAATATTAAATATATAGATAGTAATAAGTGAAACCAAACGGTATAATAACATATTTTAAGCATTCAAATATAGCATAAGATTTAAATAGTATAATGAATACATAAATTTAGAATAAAAATTGATATTTTTAAATGTTATCATTCATTTCATAACTAAGATATAAATTTGTATTTACTTTCAAAATTCGTTATAAAATATAATAATGAATTTAATAATCATAGTCAAGACGTTATTATTTTATACTCAAATTTATGTAAATTAATTTAATTACAAATTAATGAAGAATTATATATTTAGAAAATATATTTTATTCAGATATAAATTTTAAAAATTTAAATAAGTATTTTAATTTAAAACTCTAAATATCTGAATTTGAAATATTTTTTTTAATTAAAAATTTTTTAATATCTATAAAATAAGTTTATAATTAAAGTAAAAGAGTAAATATAAAAATTAATTACCAAAAAATATATATTTTGAAATACGATAATTTACAGGAAATACATCGGCAAACGCAAATGCAATGAATCTAGCAATACCAGAACAGTTCCGTGATGTAATCAAGATGAATGATTATCTAACAACAGGCAGACGACAAGAATTTTGGGAGGAACCATTTACACGACGTGTTATGGATGCCATAAAAAGTAAGGAGTTGGAAATGAAAACTGCAGCTGAGATACTAGGAGTCTCTTACGGCACTCTCTATGGCAGATATCGAGACAGCTATGGATGTCTCAAACATCCCTACAGGTGATTAATTTCACTCTTTCTTCTTCTTTCATTAAATTTAATGAAACAAACTTTGAAATTTTCATATTATAATCTTTCTATTTTTCTTCGTATATTTAATATTTGCATGAGTTTAATTATCAAATAACATTTTAACTGATAGTAACTTTTATATGATAAAAAATGCATTACTTAAAATTTCCATAATATTTTTTTATAATATTAAATAAGAACATTTACATCTATCTTTATTTAAAAAAATTAAAGTTATTTATTTTTATTTTATTATTTGATTTTTATGCATTTAGTCACATAAAGTTATAAGAAATTTCATTATATGTAGAAACTTGTTTCTAAAAATCCTATATTGCTATGCTTAAGAAATTTTTTTTTTATTTATGTTTGTAAATCACTTGGAATGTTAAAATATGTACATACACGCGTGCGCGCTCGCATATATATATATATATATATATATATATATATATATATATATGAAAAATTAATATCTCTTACTAATGTGTTTATTTTAAGTTAAACATAAATAGTAATCAAAATTTAATTTATTTTTATTGATTTATTTGAAGTAATGGATTTACAAGAAAAAAATCTTTGAAAGAAGGAAGTTAGATTTTGTAACTCAAGCCATCGTTTACTTACATTTAGTATAAAATGTCTAAGAAAAAGTTAATTAAAAAAGAATACATATAGATTTAACTAATACTTGTTTCTTACTTTAGAGTAAGAGATTTTTGGTCAGAAGCAGGCCCGGCAGAAATTCTTGCAAAGCTACGAAGAAAGGAGATCACTCTATTTCGTGCAGCCGAATTTCTCAACGTCACTGTACATACCCTGGCGACGTATCTGTCGACACTTCAAGGCCCTGACCGTATCTCGCTCGCAGGTGATCTGAATGTCGCTGCGACGGGCACCGTAATTCCTATAGATACAACAAGCAACAACGAATCAGATAATAATGACAATATGAATGACATCTTGCAAAAGATCAACGCTCACGCGAGTGGAATGCCCACTGCTGCTGCGCCAACAACTTCCGTAACGATAAAGCGCGAAGGCGGTGGTTATGTTGAGCTCCCAGCGGTTGGAGTTGTCCCCAAAGCAGCAACTTCAGTACTTGAAAATAACCCTGATATAACGATCGTTAAGACGGAAAATATGCAACGCAAGCGCCTTGAGTTTACTAAGCTCACTGCTACAGAAAACAACAACGCCAAACTTATGAGTGGAGGTGCTGTCAGCGAGCTCGCCCAATCCCAACTTTCTCATCCAGGTTATTGATGATTCTGATTCATTTACTAGCTTCAATCTTATTGAATCTTGATCAATCACTCTGAGCTCTATTTAGTATCGAATTTCCTGCCCTGTGCTTTGAATTTCACTTGTTTGGATCTTGGGAAAAGAATATTTTTTTAAAAAGATTACAAATTTCTGTCCACCAATTAAAACAATTAAACTTCTTACATATCGATCCGACCCACAAAGGATTATTATCATAATATTTTTTCAAAAATCATTTTATTTAATGATCTTCAATATTCTTTTATCTCAATTCATTTATTCCTTCTGGTAAACTCCATAAAGTTATACCTTATTCAACTTGCTAATATAAATATGGTAAGTCAATGATGTATAAATTTTTCTTTTCCGCAGATCTATATATTAATTACTGGTTTTCCTGACTTATTATTGAATTAAAAAATTATACAAAAAGGTATAAAATATAGGGAATGTTAATTATGGATGACAATTCATTCTATTTAATTTTTAATTTTGATTTTATCTTCGAATTAATTTACATATATAAAATAATACTAATAAAATAACAAACGAAAAGAAGTAAAAGTTGTAACATAGTTTTAAACTTTATACTCATTTATTTGAATAAAATTAAAAAATTCATTTTAAAATCTAACAAAATAAAACAAATAATCAGGAAAAATTGTTAATATTAAAATATGCCCTTTAGTAGCACAACAAATACAGCAGACTCAGCAGCATCCGATGTCGCAGCAGCAACAGCACCAATTGTCTACAGCACAAACAACGATTCAGCCAACGATTCAGCTCCTTCATCAACAGCAACAGTATCAACAAAAGCTTACTGATTCACTATCAACTAATAATGATACCAGCAAGCCCTAACTATTTCGTCCGTACTTGGCACCTCTGATAATTGGCTACAATAGTGGTTCCAGAATTACGAGTGTAACCATTACTGGTGCACATTACACCAATTACAGCAATAGCAACAGCACCACTATTATCCATGCCAATACAACAGCAACTATCACCAGCACTACCACTACTACCACTAGCATCTTTAATAACAATAGTCATAACAACAGCACTGGCGAACATTGCCCTTGTACTTTCCATTCTAATATTTTTGCCAGGTTTTTTCCTAATTGCCAACGTAAATAGGGCAAATAGGTGTGTGTTTACTTTTTAGCTTCGATATTTCTATAATATTTATTTCATATCTAGAGTTCAGATAGATACCTGAAATCTTATCCACAATAGATTTATATTTCCATATAAATTTCTTTCAAGTTGGAAATTTATTTCTTGTTTTTTATTTATATGAATTTATGTATTTTTGTTAATAACGCTCATTTAAAATGCTTAATATACTTCTCTCCTTAAACTTATAACAATTAAAATTTTTCTTTCAAAAGTTTTAATTGAATCTGACACAAATATAACGTTTCTATTGCATTTAATAAAATAACATGGAATAAAAATCAGCATCAAGAAATTTTTTTCTACTTTTATTTTATAAATATATTCTTATAATTTTATATTCCTATTTGGCTACTTAGTTGAATTTATTCTAAAATATTAGATATCAATAAATAAGAAAAATTGGAATGACAAATAAATTTTTTCGTATAGTTAATAACAACATTTCAAAGGAAAAGCAGAGATGAAGTTTTTCAAAAATATATAATTTAATTCTTTATTTATTTAAATCAATGTGTATTAACTACTTGATTATTAAAGTTTTTATTATCTAAATTAATGCAATCATACTCTAAAGAGAAATATTTATTTTTAATAATATTCAATTTAAAAATTTAAAGAGATACCAAATTGAATATTTTAGGAATCATTTTGCTAATATACCTTGTTATACCTAAAACACATTTTTATTGTATTCTTCATTTTGGACTGATAACTTTGCAATATTTCGCACATTTATAGACATTACTTATTGTATATGCTAAAATTGTAATGTATCGTTCTATAAGCAATTACTTAGTTGTGTTTACATTTTCATTTATCTTGAGTTTAATTCATCAATTTTTTAATATTATTCTTACGTCTTAGACATAAGCACCAGATTCAGTTTGAATATTAATTGATTTGAATAGACTTGATTTTTTATATTGATATTAATAATTGAAAAGACCAAAAAATAAAATTTTCTATTTCTTTTTACAAACTCTATTAATTTTACCATTTAATAGTTTATTATTTTAATTAGAAAAATTATTTATTCCAAATGCATTTAAGTATAATACATATACAATAAAAAAAGTTATCACTATTTATAAATGCGACTCTCCATGGACAAACTAAAGAAAAATTGTAGTAAATATTTAATGAAGTGAAGTGAAGTAAAAATAAAAAAATGGAAAACTATCTGATAGGTCAGAATAAAAATTTTAAAATAAAAAAAGGAGTTACAAATAAGATATAAAAGTGCTCTCGATCCATAGTTATATTTAACTCGAAAAACGAGAAAATTAATGGTAAAGGCATTTTGACTGATGATTGACTGCTACAAAACTTTTTGTGTACAAATTTTCCAAAGCATTAATCACTCTCTAACAAAATAAAAAAAGAAAAGAAAAAATCGTCAATCCTTGTTCTTTTCTTAGTATAATCTCAACTTATTGTATTTTCTTTAAAGATGATATATAAACTAATATTTAATTAAAAAATAATAAAAAATTAAAAGTAGTATGCGTATAATTAGCGAAGGCAGCAATGAAGACATTTTCTCAATTTTTACTATAATATAAGTAAAAGAAACTTATTTTTAAATTATTCATTAATAATAAAGTCAATGTATCTATCGAGCGACAAAGAGGTACTCAGATACCAAGCTGCCTTCTTTCGTGGCTATCATTCTGAGAAAAATCTTTTAATTTAACTAAAACATAATTGATAAAAGAGGCTTTGTAATGCATCTCTGCTAGATTAATTCAAATTATTATTAACAATATACAAGATAGCCTTGTGCTATTTTCAAATAAAATATTAAAGTCTTAATATTCAACCAAAGTTCCTTTTTTAAGAATATTTATTAATTGGAGATTTGCTATGCAGTTGAAAACTGAAAAGAAAAAACATGAATACGAAAAATACGTTAAATTATACTTTTTCTGTCGCATGTGCTTGCTATATTAGGCGTAGAGTGGCAATATGATTATATTGTAGAAAAGCTTTCTTATTGTAATTTTGGCGTGGTAGATAATTTATCTCGATATCACTGTATACAATAAGCTAAGCAATGCCGTTGTTTATACTATGTATTGAAAATTAGCAATATATCAAATAATATCCAATTTGATTAGCTTAAAACAATTATAGAGGTTTGATAAAAATTATAGCATTTATTTAAGCAATTATATTTTTTAAGATTAGTATATATATATTGAAATATTTTAATAAACTAATAATTACTGCCTTTGTGTATTAAACAAGTTAAGCAAATAAAATTTTGTTAAAAATTAATAATTCATTTAATATTAGATATTATAAATTGAATAAACTTGTTTCGTATTATTTCGTTTTTGTCGATGAATTTACAACGGTATTCCTGAAGCTTCAGATACAAAATGTAAATTGCGTTGACGTTTAAAACTATTGTAGCATAATTCATTTTTAGAAAATAAAGCGTATATTTGTTAAATTTTTAAGTGATTTGTATCCATAAGAAAGACGTAATATAATGTCTGCTCAAAGCTTTAAATGGAAATTAAAAAGAATGAACGTAAAAATTAAAAATAAAATACAGAATGAAGGCATTTTGTTTTTTCAAATAAATGTATATTTCAGAAGTTTTTGAAATACGGTTTAGCCATTAAACGGCAAAAGAATATTGTTTCTTAAACAATCGTACACGAACAAAGTAACAAAAAATAAAAACTAAAGCCAACGATTTATATTACCTTTAAGCGCATTAGACTGTACCATTTTATTTTCTCCTTTATAAACATATGTATGTGCAAATTTTTTTCTAAGGTTTAAAGACTATTTATTTAAATAAACTATTCTTATAAATAAGATTAAGTTGAACAATAATATGGATGAAATTAATATCGTTTTTACCGAAAATACTACGATAAATAACTTCAATCGTATATATTGGTGCAATAGCAAAACCTAAAATTAATATTATTTGTTACAAGTGTTGAATTATTATTTGAAACATTATCAGATAATACAATCACATTTAAAAAATAATATCGATATAGAAATTTGGATTATTGAAAATGTTTTATAACAAAATATATCAATATGCAATCCGATTTGATTTTGGTCATATATATATATATATATATATATATATATAATGAAAACGCAAAACGGAAAAGCGAACATCTAAAATCTTTGTGTTAAAAATTCAGTTTGTTGACGATAAAACAAATAGAATAAAAAATGGACAAAAATGTGTATACATAATTTTAAAAATAAAATTATATAAATTGACAATGTTAAGATAAATAGGTTGAAGTCAGCAAAATGAAGCCGTGCTATATAATTACAATATCTTGACTGGAAATGAGAATTTCAGTTCACTAAAGGTATAATTAATTGTGGGTATATATATCTATATAGTAGAGGTATTTCCATGTATATTTTTTGGTGCAAAGCGTAGTTGCATCGAAAGATTTATATTTAGGGTACTGGTAAAGTAATCAGAGGGATGATATAAATGAGTATGTTCAGTTCAAAAGAAAGTAAAATTGTATTACGCAATTCTTATTTTAATGCAAAATAAGCTTTGTAAAAGAAATAAGTAAACTAAATTAATTAATGAAATCTTTCAAATGCACACGTTAAAAATCTAGTTAATAGTGTGATAACAAAAATGTACATAAAATAATGAAAAGTGTATATACAAAATAAAATGTTCTTTTTTTTTCAGTATTACAAATTTTTATTTAAAAATTTAAAATCAAATTGAAAAATACAGGAGCTAATATCATTTTTTCTATAAGGATCTATATTTTGTCGCTTTACAAATAGAAAATTGACATTTAAAAAACAATCTGATATTCTTAAAATTTTTTAATTACTAATATCGTATGTAGAAAAATCATTAGATTACTTTACGAGAACTCTTAATAACAATACTTGACAATTACGTTATAAAGTTTTGTACGCTCGTAAACATTTCACGTTGTTAATGTGATACAGGCAAAATAAATAGAGATAATAAAAAAATTTGTAATGTATATCTGTTTATTGCCGCGAATAGTTGAAAGCGTTCGAAAAATTCATCTTCATCAAAATCTCTGTATTAAAGAAATAATTCTTTTATTTAACCTAAAATAAGACTAAGACAAACCAAATGAGAAACGTAGAGACAAGTTTTTTAGGATAGTGCTATCGCATATTAAAAGAGCAAATAAAAGAAATAAAAAATAAAAAATATATGCGCATTCTGTATTACCTATAGGTCTCGAGTAATATGAAAATGTAACATCGGGACGCACAAGATCACTTTCATTCTAGCAAGGGTATACGACTAGAAATATTAATATAAAATATTAATAATCAATATTATGCAAAAGTCCGTGATGATTGGTCATATTTTTTCATGCTTTAAGTATCATTTTATTCTCATTAATCTCATATATAAAAATTGTTTAACGTTCTTTTTCTAATTGTGTCACCCATGTTAGATTTTTTAACTTTTTACCCACCATGATAGCTCAAAGCGATAGTCGTACTTTATCTAGCTTTATAAGTGTTTTATATTGTATTTATACTTCCTTTTCATTTCGAACAATAAACTTCCCGTTTTTTAAGTTAATATAAGTAAATATATCGATAGATAAGACCAAATTTTTTTTATAAATGACCAAGATTTCCTTATAATTGATTAATTATAAGATCTGTTTCATAAATGCGTAAAGAGGTTTATATA